CCACCTTCAATCAAAACTCATTTCAATGAAAACCCAGATTTTCATCGACACATTCAAATCCCGGTCAAACCCATTCCGCCTCCAAACCCATTTACAACCGCGAGCTCCCATCTTCTTCTCACCAACCTTCCACTCCTTTCAATAGCAACTTCAAACTCGCCGAAACTCATCATCACAACCCCACCTACCCGTTTCTCCATCACCATCAACATTTCGTCAACCCCCAAAACTCATTCTTCAGAACCTTAACCTTCGAAAGAATCACTTCAAACCACCAACAAAACCTTCCAAATCAAACCATTTCAAAAATTTCAAGAAAACAAATAACTGAAAATCGCGCTAGAAACAGAGAGAAAGATGAGTTGTTGTGGATTTGTATGAATGAAACCGAACACGAACCAAACCGGAATAAAAATGAGGGAGGTGAAGTAGATGTTACGAAGCAGAGAGAGCATTGAAGGAGAGGGTGTTTTTGTTCTTTTGTTTCTCGTAATAAATTTTTAATAAACATTTATTTTCAATAAGTCAAAATCTTTCACCACTTTTTTTTTTATTATTTATTTTTTAATTTTCAGTGTTATTATGAATGGTTTATGGGCTGGTTATTACTATATTAAGCCCATTAATAATTGTAACACCCCCTTTTTTATGTAACTTTTTTTTAGTTTTAAGTTGTTAAGATTTTACTAAATTAACTTTCAAAAAGAGTTGTTAATATAATCTAGTTTTTTTTATAGAAATATTGTAAATACATTTTTAATTTAACTTCTAGAAGTTTTTAATAATTTTTTATAAATAGTTTTTTTATATTTATAATATATTTGTAAATTAGTTTTCTTAAAGATTGCTGCTATTTTTCTAAGGTTAGTTTTTTTTAGGATTTTGAACATATTTTTAAAAGCTAGATCTTGATTTTCTTACTTGTCTTCGAGTTTTAGTTTCATAATTATTTTGTTTAGGTCGATGAAGAAACTTCTATGGTTTTTCTGTCAAATTATTTATGAGAAACGATAGATCCGAGATCACTTTTCTTTCTCTCTTCTATTTCCGACCTCATTTCAATTCTAATTTCATTTTCACCATTTTTTGGTCAATGACGAATATTTACAAATTATTATCGGTCAAACTATTGATAGATGATAATTTATTCGAGACTAATTTCATTTTCTATTTCATTTTCTTCTTCATTTTCATTTTATTTAACTTCCTCGATCTATGAAGTCTTTTATTCGTAAGCGTTGCGTATCGAAGTCGATAACCTTCTTGATTTCAAATCTATGGAAAATGACCATTTGAGTCATTTTCTTTACTTTGGGATCGTGATAGGCTACCTTTAATTAATCGACATAATGTTTACAATTAAGACGAGATCCACCATCTTTTGTCCGTGCGACATGATTAAATTGGAGAGTGGTTCTCAATATCATTTTTCTCTCTTGCTCATAGCATGAATATCAATTCACGCGACCTCCTATAGACCGAATTTCATTATAAGTCGAGCTACAATGGTTTAGCATTACATTTTCCCCGATTTAATTCCTAACCAAACTAACCACTAACTTTAATTTCCGTCAAATATCAACTGTTTTATTTTTCAGTCAAATATTATTGTGAATATTATCTTGTATATTATTCATATTGTCATATCATATTCATCATTCTAATTTACCCATATTCGAAAACATAAAATAAACTATCGAAATTCTAAAAGCCAAATTGGTGGACTGTTGGATCATTGGTAATTTGCAGGAACCCTAATATCGAGTTTGTGCCCGACTTTGCTCAAGTCGTAGTTTAGGACACATTGCACACACACGACTTTCTCTTGGGCTACTTGACAATGAGACCGTTTATTTCGTGCAATCTCGTGTAACTTACATGTACCCCTCTCCCATTTCGATGTATGTTTCGTATTTCTTTGATTGTAGTTTATCTTCTAGGAGCACCCATAGGGACTAGCGTAGATCAATCTATTTTCAAACTAATTCTCGATTCGTCATCGATCGATTTTAAAACACCCTCGTAAGTCGAGTGCTCATATGCATTCGCCATCGACCTATTGCACACACTTCACCATGGTTTCGATATTGGGGGCACCTTTAGGGACTAGTATCATTTCTCACAACTCTACCCTTGATGCGTAAGTCAAGTCGGTTCCGTTTCTCAAACCATTTACATTCCCACACGTTTTGCACGCGATAATAAGTCAAACCCTTGATCTAACGTTAAGCATTTTTTTCATAACAAACTATCAATCAATTAATTACTATTTAATTCTTTTCAATGTATAAAGAGTGGGTTCAAGTCTTTGATCTTACTTTTGGTTGTTTGGATGCGAGTTATCTTATTCATGTGTGAGCAATTGACTCGCAACTCGACAATGTTCAATCATCATCCAACCTCTCACCCGTTCAGATACCACTCAAACAACCTTCTTTTGCAATGAAAAAGAGAGAGTTCCAAGTCTTTGGTTCGCTCTCCCGACTACTTGGGTCCAAGAAGTCTTTATTAAGCTTCAAGTAGTCGTCATCTGATCAACCTCACCTTTCAAACACATTCCCTTATGTGATGAAAAAGAGAGAGTTCCAAGTCTTTGGTTCGCTCTCCCGATTACTTGGGTCCGAGAAGTCTTTCTTAAGCTTCAAGTAATCGTCATCAGTCCAAACTCACACTTTCAAGTACAACCTTATCTTCAAGATGAAAAAGAGAGAGCTCCAAGTATTTGGTTCACTCTCCCGATAACTTAGGTCCGAGAAGTCTTTCTTAAGATTCGAGTAATCGTCATCCGTGCCCACCTTCAAACCCATTAAATCCCGTTTCTTTTCGTGGTTGTTACCATGAACTACGAATGCTCTGATTCTTCATTCATTCTTGAATGTAAGATGCGTAGGCACAAGATTGCGATGATCTTGGTGAGCAACCTTCTATCGATCCTCCTATTTCCCGTTTCTTTTCGTGGTTATTACCACGAACTACATATGATCTGATTCTTCATTCACTCTTGAATGTAAGATACGTAGGCACAAGATTGTGATGATCTTGGCGAGCACACTTCTATCTTCCTCCACAATCCCCTCCATCTTCTGTTTCTCCCATCCTTTCCCGTAGTCGAACTATGACGCTCTGATTTCTCATTCTCGTCTGAATGAGCATACGTAGGCACAAGGGCCCCAATCCTTGGCGAGCACCCTATCCTTTAACCATCCCCTTTACCCTAGTGTCTTTATCCTTTATAGTATCGTATAGTATTTTAGTATTGAGAAGAGAAGAATTAAGCTTAGCTAACTTTCATCACAATCCGAATTAAGAGGTTCCCGTTGAGTACAACAGACGTGAGGGGTGCTAATATCTTCCCCTTGCGTAACCGACTCCCGAACCCAGGAACATTAGGTTGCGACGGCCGTGTTCCTTCCGTTTTTTTAAGAGGTTTTCTCGATATTTTCCTCTCCCGTTCATTCGGGATAAATAAAGTTCGGTGGCGACTCTGTCGAACCGCATTTCCGCGCCTTTTGCGCGAGGGTCGCGTTTTCGAATGAATTTTCAAGGTGCGATAATTGTACATGTTCCAATAATGTAATCCATTTGTTTACAGATTGTACATGTTCCAATTATAGGACATGTTCCAATTAGTCATTACATAGTACATATTCCAATTATAGTTATTACTTAGGAAGGTTGTGATGAATTGAAGGACATGTCAGTTGCAATATTGTATAATTAATTGAAAAGGAAGTTGAAATTGAGAATTACTTCATAGAGATATCATTAAAGTCATTACATAGGAAATAACTTGTTCCAATACATGGACAATAAACTGATTACAAAATAACTACAAACTTATTACATAAACCACAAACTGATTACAAAGTGACACAATCCACAAAATGTCATAAAACCTAACTATTACAAACTGACATGAAGCATATAGAACCTAATTTGAACTAATCTTGAGAATGTTGATGTGCTTGTGATGAGTTCCCAATTTCTGTTACAACTGCCTTTGCCTTCTTTCCACCTTTTGTTTCAAGTTTCTGTCTCTTTCCATCCTTTTATGCATTTCCCTTCTTCTTGTTACCACCTTTGGGAATGACTATCTCAGCAGCCTTTTTTCCTTTGCAACTCATTTTGTTGTGTCACATGGCACCACATTTATGATAGCTCACAGTTGTAATCTTCCTAGGAAGTACATGTGGATTTCCTGGTTCATTGTTCACTTTGTTCCTCAGCTTCTTGGGTCGACCAATGGCCCTTCTGAGCACTGGTGGTTTGATTGGTACCTGACCCTCCAACAAAGGCCATAGTTGGGGCCTATTTGTAGGGTATATTATATGTGAATAACTATTATTGAAAAAAGACTTCCTGCACAACCAATAATAAACATATTTAGTCATACTAAGCAAACATAATAAACAGATTTATATGGTGAATGCACAAATCTGTAATACTCAGAGACATAATCTTCAGGTTTTTTCTTGTTTTTCCATATACATGATATGGCATGACTACATGGAATACCAGTCAAATCTCATTTTCTGCAAGCACATGTCTGCTATTTCAGATCTACAGAGTATGTCTCTATGCCATTGGTGACACCAAAGATGGACAAATCATCATCACCATGCCATGTGGGTGTCTAAGATTCTGCATGTTTTTTTTTATTTTCAAGAAGCAATTGAATTCTAGGGCAAATATCACCAGTTATGTATTCATAAGCTCCTTTTGACTAGTAATCCTCTTAGTCAAGTAATGTTTAATACCCTCCAACAAAGTGATTATGGGTTTATCCCTACACTCTTGAATTGCCCTATTGAAGGCCTCACACATATTACTAACTTGTAGATCACACTTAGAGTATGTTTTGAAATGTGACCTGGTCCGTAAGTGAGTAGTGATGTCCAACATATCCTTCCAAGCTGCTTCTTTGAAAGATTTTAATCGTTGCATTGCCCTCTCCCATACTGGAATGGTTGTAGCTCTTGCAACACTTCACACTGCCTCTTTCAATTCAAGTCCTGGATGTTCTTTTTCCAATTGCTATAGAAATGCTTCACACATAGTATTTGTTCCACATGTTCACTTACACTTTGAACAGCTGGTACTAAACCCTACAAAGTATGACATTACAATATTATGACATTATAATATTATTAAATGAATATGTAAGGGATACCTTTTGCTCATCTGAAATGAAGGCATAAGCTCTGTGCTTGATTTCATATAAGTCTTCAAGTAGAAGGTATATGAACCACTCCCAAGATGCTTTTGTCTCTGCTTCCACAATAGCATATGCAATAGGAAAAATCTCATTGTTTCCATCCCCGCCTATGGCTGCCATCAATTGCCCACCAAAGTCACCCTTCAAAAAACAAGCATCTAACCCTATAAGTGGCCTACAGTATTTGGTAAATCCATACTTTCAGGCTTCCAAACAAATATATATCCTTTCAAACATAGGTCCTTCCTTAGAGTCATCACACTGCACCAGAACTGTACTATTGGGGTTTCATTTAAGCAGCTCTTCAGCATAACTTCTCAAATGTAAAAATTAATCAATTCCAGCTCCTTGAATCATATCCATTTCCTTCCTTTTGGCTCTATATGCTTGATCATGGGACAATTTCACTCCCTATCTGTCAAATGACTCAATAATCAAACCCACAGGTTTCATATTAGGGCTATGTCTTAGTAGGAGGTGTATGTAGCTGATCAGAGTCATGATCACAATCTTGACACACTATCTTAGTAGCTTGCCACACATTTTCATAACCTTGTAGCACTGTGGTCCAATCCACATTGATTGAATTAGTGTCATACTCACTTTTAACATAATCATCCTCACCTTCACTTGATAAATCATTCTCACCTTCACTTGCAACATATTCATTGTCACCTTCACTTAATGAATCATTGCCATTATCATCCATATTGTCATGTTCCTTTCCATTCACATTATCATCTTCCTTTCCTATTCCAACCTCCACATTCTCATGTTCATTTCCCTCCACATACTCATGTTCATTTCCCTCCACATCCCTATCTTCCATAGAGTCAACATCTTCATTACCCTCCATATTCTCATCTTCCTTTCCCTCCACATTCTCATCTTCCTTTCCCTCCATATTCTCATTTCCCTCCATATTCTATATTCCTTAGCCTCCACATTCTCATGTTCCTTTCCCTCCACATTCTCATATTCCTTTCCATCCACATCTTCCTTTCCTAGCTCAGCCTCATATATAATATATGAAGTACAAATTAAGTGCTCTATATACACATCTACAACATCATAATCCTTAACATCAGCAACAAATTTCAACACATCTTGATCAAAATTTAGGGGTCTAAGGCCACGCGAAAAACTATACTTGGGGTTCCAATACCATAAACACTTAATGTTGGTATATCCCTTATTGTGAATCAACTCTCTCAATTGCATATACGGCACATAATCCATATTGTCGCTACTGCGAAAATCGGCGCCGGCTGAACAGAAGAGTCGCCACCGTGCGTTATTTATCCCAACGGAGGGAAAGGAAACGCTCGAAGTAAACCTCGCGAAAAATGGGAAAAGTATGGTCATCGCAACCAAAACCTGGGTTCGGGAGTCGGTTATGCAAGGGGAAGGTATTAGCACCCCTCACGTCCGTCGTACTCGACGGGATCCACGCTTGTTTTCTGGTACGGATTGTTATTTCTATCTAAACTAAAGGTCAGGGGTTAAAAGAAAAGAAAATGACTCGGCAAAGTATCACACTTTATGCCTACGTATTCCCGTCTGGAACGAGAAATCAGAGTCAACGTAGTTCGCCTACCTACGGGAAAGGAGGGGAAGGTTGCTCGCTAGGATATCGCATCCTATGCCTACGTACTTTCACACAGCATGAAAGATCAGAGCAAACGTAGTTCGGGCCACGTACGACACAAGTCTGTTTTGATTGCTTTTATCTCCTTCTGAAAAAGGGTTTTTCTGATTACTGGTCCAAGCGGACAAAAAATGACGTTTTTGATGAGTTCACATTCTTTTACGAAAGAAGTGTCTTTAATTGTGTTTGAAATATTTATCGTGTTTTTCTGTTTGTTTTGAGGAAGAAGAGACAGAACTCTAACCTATGGTTGCAAAGGGAATCAAACTAACCTAATGTTATCATGCATGGGTTAAGACCTAATGTCTATCATGCTCCTCTCTTGCGCAGAGAGAAACAGAGATCCTAAGGGAATAGACGGAAACAGAAACAATAGCAGATATATAATAAAGCAGTAAAATGCATGGATGCAGCAATACAAGCGAGGCAAGGGAGTCCCACTCAACCTCGAACCTAGAAAACAACAGGCAAAAGTGAACAGGATTCACTTTCAACCTAACAGGTTAAACAGCAAGCAATACAGTCAGGGAAATTCAATCAATACATCAAGAATTATAAACAGCAAAAGACTAAACAGCAAAAGCAGTCTTCATCAACATCTGTCTTCAAGTCATCTTCCACTATCTACAGGCTTCAAGCAAGCATCAGTCTTCATCTTCAAGCCTTCAAGCAATGCCTCTATCTTCAATCTCCCAATGGCTTTTCTTCAAGTCCCAATCTCCAAGCTGAGGAACCAATCAAGAGGATGAACTGGGGTGCTAAGCAATTAGTTGACCACCAAAGGTGGCAAACAGACTGCTAACAACACATAGAATGTTTCTCTCAAGAGTTCTATCTTTTAGACACTATCACCAAGCCTTCCAAAGGAAGGGGGTGAGTGTCCTAGAGAGACTCTGCATCATAGAGAGGGATGGAGGCAAACAAGACCTTCCATGTTTGTGAATCAAGTTTTCTACTCTAGAGTTCTACCTAACTCCTAAATCCTATAACCTTCAACAGCTGCCAGCAAGAGATACCTTCATCAACTCTGGAAATTGGTCTTCATTCTTTAATCTTCAATGGGCTTCATCAGCCCAGTCTTCAGCTCCAACCCCAAACCCCAAGCAGGCCCAATACCCCACACAGTCAAATAATAATAACTCTAGAGAGGGCACACCACACAGTCAATCAAATACAAGCAATACACTAATAGTAATAGTAGAATAGGGGAAGCCTAATATTTTCTAAGGGATCTATTAGTTACCCATAATACCCCTATAGTCCCATACCCCAAAATTCAAACTACAACTCCTAAAAGAAATGATTTATTACACTTATGTTATATCTAAACCCTAGTTTTGATTCTACTAATCACACCTAAACAAACCATCTAAAATTAAATCCTAAAATCATGAATTAAATCTCATATGAAAATTAAATTCCTAAGTGAAGTACTCTAAAACTAATAGGTCCAAAATATACAAGTATCTAGCTAAACTAAAATCAACAATATCAAGTGCTAAACTAAACATCATTTAAACCTATTTAAAAGAAAAATATACTAAAAATGCAAAAATAAAATAAAATGCTAATTTTATTATATGACAATTTTCTTAATAGAAATATGAAAAAGGTGCAAAAACAACCATTTAAAAATGTGAAATTTCCAATTTGTTATGATTTTTCAAAGAATTAAAAAAAATGAATGAAATTAAAATGAACTAGAAATGAATTAAGATGGGCGAGGGGTGCAGTTATTAGTTATTTCAGTTAAAACATGGATGATGGGCCCAGACTGGGGGTGCGCATAGCAAGGCGCGTCTGGGCCCAGCTGATCAAAAAACACAAGAAAAAAAAATAAAAAAACCAAAACGGTGCAAATAGTAAATGAATTAGTTCAAATGAAGTTGGGCCTGGATACTAGGGGTGCGAATAGCATGAGTGCACTAAGCCCAGCAAAGAGATTTAAATGAAACGGTGCGCTTTGGCACCCAGAATTCCCTCGCGTTTCAGTTTTAAATCGTGGCCGTTAGATCACATGTTCAGTCAACACATTCTTACTCAACCCAACGGTCTCAGGCTTGTCTTCTTCATGAGTCTAGGGTTTCCACCATTATCGAGCCCTGCATGCAGCTTCATGAACCAGACTTCCACCCTCTCATACAACCTCGTTCCTCCATGAAATTCAGAGCAATAAAAAGCAAAATTGCTCTACATCTTTTCCTCTACACAACCATGGTTTCAATTTCCTCTAAAACTCAATCCATATCCAAACCCGATAGGTAGAAGACCTTGGTTCCACCACTTTACACTGAGATCAATCTCGAGGATTCTTGCCAACTCTTACACTAATGCGTTCTACATGCTATGCTGATCATTCTAATCTATCTAACTAAGATTATCATGCCCTAACCTAAGTGTTCTAAGGCTCAACAGTTTTGGTGCTCCAATGGTGAACTCCATGAAATGCCCTCAAATTCATCAGAATCATTCATCTACCTATGCCTAACAATTCTAACCTAAAGATTCTTCATCATGCTAACTAATTCTAACAAATTCGATGGAAATACTAACCTGGTTTAAAGTTGAAAACAGAGGTATGAAATCACCACTTCAAGCTCAGCAATGCTCCAATGGCAATCAATAGACCAAGATCTTGATTCTGTATGCAGTAGTTCTTGCTTAAACCCCTTGGATTCTTGTAACCACTTCCTTTTGCAATTTGGAGGATGCACTTGGTAGCACACGAATTATACTTCAATTCAGCCAGATCTTGGTGTAAACTTGATCTATGATGGATGTAGATGATGATAGGATCAAGAATTTTGGAAAATAATGAAGATTTGGTAGAGTTTGGAATGAATTTGCAAAGTTGAAGAATGAGATGTAACTATGTGTTTCAACCAAAATGAATCACCAACCCTTGAATGGATCCACCCTACTCAATATATAGATGCTCATAGACCTTTCTAGAACTTGATAGAAACTTCTTGTGCACAATTCCCTTGTGAATTTGGATATGTTACTTCTTTTGTAAGCCAACTAGCATAACTTCCAAACTTTGAACTAAACTCAAAAATCTACTTTTCCCAATATTCTTAAAACATTCTTTCCAATCAAAATGACCTATAATTTCATCCCATTTGGCCATGTTATGAAAAATCTCAATTTTAGGTCACTTTTATTCATTAAATTCACTTTTTAATTGACCAAGTTTGGAACCTTGAGCTATGAGCCTTTCCAAACTTTCATGATCACTTTTCTAGACTCAAAATGTCATTTGGAGCAAGTTTTATGTTGTGAAGTTTTTCATTTGAAGCTTCCTTGTATGAGTTTTGGGCATAGGCTTGAAATGACCTGTAATTCTCAAATGACCAAAATACCCTTTGCTTGCCAAGGACATAAATAGAGTTCCACAAATCAGATGAAGGCATACCATACCTTTCTAGAAATCTAAGACAATGAGGAACAACTCTCATGTTTACCAGAAATC